TTAACCAACTGTTCAAGTGCATTTTACCCCATTGGTTGCAATGCTTCTTTTATCCTTTAAAAATGCTTATGTGAAATTGGGTCTATTTTGCCTAGCCAGTCTGTTAAACTGAGATATAAGTTATATAATGTTTTACTTCTGTCAAGGTTAATACTCCTCCCAATTAAGCTGTCTTCAAAAATTTTTTTCCATCTCTCTTGTTTATTTTTCCAGATGAATTTAAAAATAATCATATCCAAGTTTAAGAGGGCTCTATTGAGATTTTTACTGTAACTACACAAAGCCTAAACATAAATTAAGGAGGAATTCTTAATTCACAATTTTAACTTTGCCATTTAGGGAAGTTCTTCATATTTCTCAACAAAATATGGCCACTTTCTTCATGAAGATCAATCACCTTCAAATAAAGCTTATTTCTAGGTATTTTATATTTCAGGTTGTTTTCTAATTGGGATTTTATGGGCGGCATTCTTTTGTTTTTGAGCTGCCTCCCTACAAGTACCATCCGCAGACCTGATTTACTCCCTCTGGAGCCAGACAAGTCAAAAACTGCTCCTCCTTCCTCAGGGCGAATTTTCATCTCTTTGGAGACTGCTATCTTGTTTCCCATCAGCCTCCTTTTGTCCTGGCCGAACAACTCCACTGATAGGATGAAAACTGTAGTTGGGAAAGATTCAAATGACAGAGGTGAGGAAGGTAGATTTGGGGCAGGTTAGACGAGGTGGGGGACCAGTGAGAACTGGCTTCTGTTATAATCCAGGCTTAAAGACTGGCTCAATGAGTCTGTGAACATAGAAAGGGGCAAGTCTGAGAGAGATTTCAAAAGAGGAAACATTAGGACATGTTGACAAATGGTATATAAGGGATAAAGGAATGGAAAGAAGAGTCGAAGGTGACTTTAAAATTTCTAGCCTGAATCACTGAAGAGAGTGATTTCTGTCTAAGAGGAAGTGAGATTGAATAGGGCAGATGGTTCGGGTGTTAGTTCATTTATGTCCTCCTGACTCTGAGATGACAATATAGAGGTCTGTGCCATAGATCAGTTGTGAGATAATGTAAAAAAATTACATGAGGGGGGACCTCAAAAATAATGGGAATTACCTCCTAGAGGGCGGGACCCTTGTAGTACAGGGTTCCTCTGTTAGGTGAGTGTTGTAGGAACCCATTGGTATCAGTGTACTAGCTGGTGTTGTTGTGAGAGGCTGTGTTTGGCTTCAGTGAATTTTCCTGAAGACTCTTTCAACGTGTTTGCCCATTTCATGAGGGGTGATTTATGGGCGCGCCTGCGCGCACCGTGCTGTGTTCAGCAGTTTTGACAATGGCATGACCCCTGTGCCCCACCTTCCCTATTCACCCAGTCTCACCCTGAGCGACTTTTTTTTGGTTTCCCCTGATGAAAAAAGTCCTCAAAGGGAAACATTTTGCCCATGTGGAAGAGGTGAAACAAAAAACGGGAGAAGCACTAAAAGACATGAAAATCGACAAGTTCAAAAACTGTTTTGAGCACTGGAAATACATCTCAATATGTGTATTGCATCAAATGGATAGTACTTTGAAGGTGGCTGAAGTTTAAACATGTAAGAATAAACATGTTTCTATAAATTAATTCTGGTGTTTTTTGGATTCTCCCTGGTGTATATTGGTCTCTGCCCCGAGTTCCTAGCATAGAGCTCCTAAAGCGCTTGTAATTTCCTAAATGACAGGAGCACTTGGAGCATCTTTTGTTCTAATGAGGAGACTCTGGGCAGGTTCCTGGATGGGGGCTGGCCACCCAAAAGACCAAGCCATGATTAGAGCCTTGGTATTTTTAGCCCTACCCACCCCCCCTGACCCCCATCCTCCAGAGAGGGGAGAGGCACTAGAAATTGATTGTGCCTACAGGAGGAAGCGTCTCTGAAATCCCAATAGCATGAGGTTTAGGCAGCTTTTGAGCTGATGAACACATCTGCATGGGGAAGGGGACACACTCCAGCTCCTCGGGGACAGGTGCTCCCTCTTTCAGGATACTCCCAGACCTTACCTTATGTATCTCTTCATCTGGATGTTCACCTGTGTCCTTTAACATATCCTTTAATAGACTGGTAAATATGTTTCCCTGAGCTCTGTGAGCAGCTCTAGCAAATTAATCAGAGTTGGGGGAAGGGAGGGTCACGGGAACCTCCAATCTGTAGCCCAAATCAGCCAGAAGTTGTGGGTAACCTGGTGGTCTACTTGCGATTGGCACCGGAAGTGAAGGAGGGAGGCAGTCTTGTGGGACTGAGCCCTGAACCTGTGGGATTGACACTATCTGCAGGTAGACAGTGTCAGAGCTGAGTTCAATTGCAGGACACCCAGCTGGTGTCACAGAGAATGGCATGGTGTGGGGAAAAAGACCCTCAAACATTCGGTGACCAGATATATCATAAGTTTTGTGTGAGTAGTAAGTACAGGAGACATGCAGGTGGGAAACTGAGTTTTTTCTAAACACCAATGTTTTTCAAAAATTTTCCCCCACAATAATATATTTTACTCAGCTGGCCAGTTCACACACAAACACATATAGATAGATAGAAAACAGATATAAGCGTCTCCAAACTCCTACAGGCATATGCAAGTGGTAGGAAAAACGGCCTATGTGAGTGATCGGCACTGAATTGATAAAGTCAGGAGGATGAATGACTTCCGTTCCCCCGAGCTGTCTGAGATCCTGCGGTCTGAGACTTGGTGAGACCTGTCAGGAAATGAATTACCCTGCCATCATCTCCCCTCAATCCCATGTGCCACAGGAATCAAGGGGAAGATTCGAGCAGAAAGGCCACACACGTTTTAGAGATCAAAGTAGTTCTCTCTGCCAACCAACCCCACAGAGCACACAGAGCTAGAAATTGCTCACCTTTAAAAAACATCTCCTTTATCCTCAGCCTGGATAAGGCTTTTCCTTGGAGAAGGGTGGAGGGTTGGGAGGGTGTACAAAATATTTAGGTCTCCAACTTTGAACTGGGACAGGGAAGTTAGTAAACAATTTCTCCATGGAAAGCTAGAGTCCTAAATTAAAGTGTGGAAAAGAGGCCAAGGCCCCAGGCTAACATCTGCTGTTGGGTCAGAGCCTGAGCAAGCTCAGGCCCGGGCTCCACAACCCTCGGCTCTGAGGAGCGCAGGAGCTCAGGGGATTATTAGAGGCCCCACATAAAACAGCAACACAATAGGAAGAGCTGATTAAAGAGGGAAGGCTGCTTTTCTTTCCCGGGAGACTTTACCCTCCTTGGTCAAATGATCATGTCAGAACATCTTTCCAGAGTAAATCTTGGAACGGTCCATGGTGAAAGTTTCTTTTAAATAGAGATGAACATGAGCAAATCAACTTCGGCTTTAGAAACTTAGTTTTTAAAATGTCCCAATGCACCATTTGGTTGAAATATCACATCCCTGTCAAAATTTTTATGTTCAGGGGAGGGGGCAGAAGAAGAAGTAGGAGGACAAGGGTAGTTGTTTGGGAGGCAAGGAATGTTCCTGCAAACTGTTTTCTCCAGGGCTGATGTTGCTGGTTTGCAGGAGGCTGAGGATGGCTGCGGCTGCGGTGGCTCTCAACCCCCAGCTCAAGGAAAATGGGCCTTCATGGCAAGGGGCCCCGGGAGTCAGACTCTATCTCCCCTCCACAAAATAGTCAGGAGGCACTGAAGAGTTGGCTTACAAATGACATAACACAGGCAATAACCAGGCCACCGAAGTCAGGCGCAGCTTACTCACTTACCACACCCTCTCGCAGGCCCTGTGCCTCATCTCATTCTGCTCTGATCCCCACCGTCCTCTTCTAATTGGTCTGGTTGCCAAGATGTAAACTGCCTTCCCCTTGACTACATTCTCCTTCGAGACCCCCCTTACCCTCTGTGGCAAGCCCCTGCTCCTTTGGGTGGTGCAACAACTGAACTCTGGCAAATACACACAGGCGCCTTTTTGGTCCAAGGAAGCTCTCATTGCCCTCGTTCTAGTCTCCAGAACACTTAATTATCTCCAGCTAGTATCTCTGCTGCTCCTATCAGCGAGGCCCAGGTCCAGAGCCTCCCTTTCCTGCAGGGCAGTACACTCATTCCCTTCTTCCTCCAGCCAGGCAAGTCTTCTTGGCACCTTAGGCAACCCCACCCTGCTTCCACCCTCTTCACATTCGGAAAACAAGCACACTCTGGATACACCCACGCCAAACAAGACAGCCAGAGAAAGAGAACCCGGACTGTCAAAAGACAAACTCAGGTCTGGATCAGATTTCTAATGCATTCTGAAACCTGGGTATGAGTTACCTGGGGAGTAGAAAGGAAAGTTATGAGAAAATTTTACATGGTTTTACTTGAAAGAGAAAGAGGACTAGAAAGGAAATGGCCAGGGATGAAGGGCATTGCATTTCTAGTTTCTTTGGTCCAGAAAAGATTTATGTAAATTCAGCTCTGTCCCTGTTAGGCCCTGCAGTGAACGCACCTGGCAGAAAAAAGGGATCATTGGACTACTTGAATGATGTCCAGAGATAGTCCAAAACTAAACCCTTAAATAGCTGTAGTCAGCATTTCCAGAGGGTTTTTCATTTCTGCAGAGGAGATGGAGTTGCTTGGCTACTGCCAGTGCTGATTAGTAAATCTCTCATCACGGGATCTATGCCTCTAACCAGTACTTTTCCCACTGAGGACACACACTGGCCGAGCTCAGGGATCCTACAAGGCCACCACACCAGATGGGGTCAAAGTTAAAGTTAGAGGCCACCTCTACAACAAAGACTCAGGCCACGATGCTGAGCTGCTGGAAAGGGATGTTCTAACTCCTCCGAATGCCACAACGTCCTCATGTCATAGTACCCGGATGTCTGGACCACACTTCCCAGCAGTGGACAACAAGGTGCCCATCTTCAAGAGGCACTAAAATGACGTTCTTTCACCCTTCCTGAAAAGTGAAAAGAAACCAGGCCAGGAGCTCAGAGAGAAACATTAACAAATTTATTAAATTTACCATACAAAGAATATAGTACAGGAAAAAAATATCAGAACTGGAAAGGCCCGTGGAGATCAACCGGTCTGAACCCTGGTTTTACAAATGAGGAAACTTCATGAAGAAATCAGAACACCATTAGAGACAAAGCCAGGGCGTGATACAGAAACACTCAGACTTAAGGCTTCTGGTCTTGAACTAAAGACTTCTGAGTCCTATAGCACCACATTCTGATGCTTTTCTCCCTCTTGAGGCTACAGGAAGAGCCCTCAAGAACACACTATGAATAGCAGGGTCAGTTGGAGCCAGGACAACAGACCCACGATGAAGCAGAGGAGTTAGGAGGAGAATTCAATTCCTTCCCAAGAATCCTGATTGCCCTCTTCCCCCAAATATTCACTCAGACCCAATGTCTCAGGGAAAATATACTTGCCTTCCTAAGGTACAGATCAGATGTGGAGGAGGAAGGGGAAAGAAGTAGAGGAAGGAGGGAGAAAGATTTATAACGGGGTTGTTCTGAAATGAAGTCCAGTGGGAACACTCTTCTCCCACTGTCAAGAAAATCCAAACATTGTAAGAGAAGGGTGTAGAACTCTGGTACTGAATCAGTTGTGAGATATAAGCAAAAATGCCAATAAGTTAGCAAAATAAATACAATGACACTTTCGCTGAGATTGATGTAATCCAGTGAAAAAAGTGTTTAGGCTTTGAGTCAGTCAAGATGACTAAGGTGCACTTTGTAACTGCATCTTAGGAGAATCCCTAAGAGATGCTTGGAGTTGTCACAGCAGAGAAGTCACACTAACTGTCTGTGGCCCTGCATAATCTTTCTGCTCAAAGCTACTCCCGGAATGCACATTCCCTCCCCCACCAAAACAGGGGCTGGCCAGTCAGCTGAGGAAACCCGTTGTCTCTCTGAAAAAGACCGGGTCAGCATGAGCTCAGGGTGGAGCCAGCAGAAAACTGGTTTGTTGCTAAGAACCACACTGTGTTTCTGGAAGGAACTTTGTTCCCCCAGGACACCGTCCAATCACTGTGGACATCTGTGTCTCCATCTTCTAGGGCCGAGGCCAATCTTGTCATCTCTTTACTTCTTCCAACTGGATGAAGGCCTGGGGCAGCTGAACTCCAGGCTACAACAGAAGGGAGGCTCTGCTAAGAGAAAAGCAGTAACTACAGGGAGAAGGGTGGGGCCCTGGCTCCTGCCAGCAGGATTCTGTCCGCCAGGGCTGCAGTGTCCAGAGGAGGCGCTCATCCTCCATCCACCCAGCATGCCGAGGACAGAAGTTTGGAACCAGGGCACACAAACCCCAAGCCCTGATGGCAGCCAGGGACCAGTCAGGAGGTCAAAGTCAGTGCTAACAGCCTACAGGGGTGGCGAGCTTCTCCACAGGCAAGAGGCAGCAGCAACAGCAGCATCTGTCTCCTCAGCTCATGTTTCTACCACCCGGATGAGAGGCATGGGCTTAGGGCTGGGGGGCTTGGCTATCCGAATGCTGAAAAGACAATTGGAAACACGAGACCTGTATTGTTGCCCACCCTTCACAGAGCAGCCCCTCCACATCAGTCTCTGGAATTCTATACTTCAGGGCTGGCTGAGCTCTTGTGTTCCAAATGCTCTGAAACAGTCACTGTCAATGACATCCAAGGGAAGTCTCGGGGGTGGGACTTGTCTGGTGGCAGGGGTGATGAAAAGAGAGAGGGCAGCTGAACAACTGAGAAGTGGCGTGGCCACGATTCTTGATTTTTTTCAAAGTCTTGGCCCTTTCTGTGAATCTCGTGAGGCCAAAAAGGCCTCTTCCTGGGAATATGCACATATTACACACATATGATTTTTGGATACAATTTCAGAGGGTTCATACACCTCCGTTAGCTGTTGGTGGGCCTCCTGGAGTAGGGGTAGCATGCTCTGGCCTAACCTGGTTAGAAAATGGTTTGGCTAGAGAGGGGGTCAGGTCAGAAACTGAGAGATAAACTTGGATTTAAAAGAGCCTTGGCCTTGGCATTAGCACTGAAGGTTTGCCACAGCTCTGTCCCTCTTTTCTTTTCTTCCTCCCTCAGCCCCACTGCATACACACCCACTTACCTGCCCAGATTCTCGGTCTTGGCCCAGGTCTGGGTGCTGAAGTTGGCATGACTGACTTGTTTCTCTATCAGGTGTTCCAGCCGGTCATGCATCTCTAAATTCTGCACCACAAGTTCTGAGGTTAGAGTTGGCCTTCTGGCTTGCCATTTGTCACATTTAACTGCTTATTCTGGTCTCTCTACCTCTGTGTCTGCACGGCAGTCACCCCCACCCCTACCATGCGTGCCACTACCAGGAGGCCCTCTCCCCGCGTCTTCCCCAACTCAGGTCGCTCTCTTCCTACAGGAATAGCTCCAGCCCCCTTCCCTGAGAAGTATTCTCTCAATAGCTCTATGCAACACTGATCATTTACTATCTAATTTCCTGGAGTCAGTTATTTACTTGCCCTTGTTAATATGCTATTTCATAAAGTATTCTTATGTCATTTTTTAAAAATGTATTTTATCTCTAACTCTAGACAACTCCCTGAAGATCAACAGCCCTGTCTCCCATTTCTTTCTATCTCCCTGCCACAAGGAAATTTCACGCTGTGGCTGCAAAGCAATCTTTATGTAGTCAGCAGACAGGAAGGACTCTGAGGTTAGGCGGAAATACACCAGGAATACTCATTAGTTAATCGAGCCCATCACCTTGGCCATGGGGAGACTCCACCTGTACAGAATGCCTTCTCCTTCATAGTGCAGCTCTGTTGTCATCTCCTCTGCTAAGCCCATGGGCAGAATTAAGGACTCGCCTCATGCTTCCAGGGCACGGGGCTTGTACCACGGTGACCTAACTCTTCAGAGTGGGGACAGGTCTTACCATTGTTAGCAACTCCCTGAAGATTCTCAGAAAATGTTTCCTCAGCTGAACTGAAGATCAACCAGCCATCCCAGATACTTGTTTCTGAGCAGCAGTTGGACAAGTTGAGACCCCGCCCCCCACAACCTCTCCTGCCTTATGTCCACTCTCCTCTTGGGAGCCTGCTCCCTCCCTAGGGCTATCTAGTGCACGCACCTCTGCTTCCAAGTAGGCTATTTTCTCCTTGAGCTCCTGGATGGTGCTATCCTTTGACTGGATCACAGCTTTTGAATTCTGGAGCTGCAAAGACATGGGAGACACTGGAGCTCATTTTGAAATGACTCATTCCAAGATCATCGAACTTCACCCCGCTGCCGGAGGGAGCTGGCAGAGACTAAAGGCTAAGTTTGCACCATTCACATGCCTTGCTTAGCTTTTCTGTAAAAGCCTCATTTCAGTCAATATTAAACTCTGGATTACCCCTGGTGTTGGGGTAAACCACTCTGAGAATCGAAAATAATGGATGATTCCAAAACCAATCCTTTTGACTTTGGGAAATACAACTTCTTTATTCACTTAAGAAATAGTTATTGAGTGCTTCCTATATATATGATAGGCCCTGTTCTAGACAATCGGAAACAGCAATGAACAAAACAGAAAGATCCTGGCCCTCATGGAGCTGACGTGCAGCAAACACGACCTGCCATGTAGGGGTCTTAAGTTTTCCCAAAACAATTCTGCAAATCGGCGTATCTTGAGTATGCTACCCTCAGTGCAGACAGGGGAAAACAGAAAATCTGCTGTGAGGTACAGGGTTGATAGTCTGCACACAGATAACTGAGTTTATTGTGACTTGGTATATGAATATCAGCCAAGCTCCCCAGAGAAATAAATAAAAGCATAGACTTGACAGGCAAACACGGCTAGACTCAATGTGGCAACTTCCAGAGGGGTAACCCAGGGCCGGGGCAATCCGACCCCGCTTACCTGCTCTATCATTTGCCTGACTTTCCGCTGCTGGCTCTTCAGCATGTCATCCAAGTGGTGGATCTTCTCCCGCAACCCAGCCACTTCCTTTTCCAGGTTAGCCGCCCTGGGGATAAAGAGCAGAAAACTAAGGCAAGAGGAAAAGATTCTCTGTCTACCCAGTCCCAGGAAGAGCCCTGGGCTCGGGGTTTCCCTCTAGTGAGATTCCCTCTGCCCAGCTCCCCAGCGGTTTGCCCTAAGGAGCAGATGGGGGTACACATTAGAACATCACAGTGGCAGCATCACTAGAGACCATGTGGTCCAAATGAGGGAAATGAGGCTCAGAAAGGTGAGAAGTGGTCGTTCTGGATAGCTTAGAGGGCAGAATAGATAGGTGTTCTAGGGAGGCAGTTCTTCTGTAAATGCAGAAAGACTTTCTTGGTACTAAAGCTGTCAGAAGTGGCCTGGCTTGTGAATAGTGAGCTCCTTATTCCTGGGAAGAATCAAGCAGGAGCTGGGATTATGATACCCACCACAATCACGCTGGTAGCAGGGATTTTTTTTATCAAGAGGGAGATCAGATTTGAGGATCCTTAAAGCCTTTTCATACAAGTCTGTTTTTAAGTCTCCTGATTCTTAGACACTGCTGTTCCCTTTGTCTCTTCTAAGCAAACTAGGCCAAAATGCCCAAAGGTCAGGTGGCTGGGGAGAGTGCCCGGGAGTTTAAGACCTCTGAAGAATTCTGGTACCCATTACTCTCCAGCTTTACCAGAGGAAGCAGCCAAGTGCCTGCTGTTAGAAGATGAGGGGGTAGGGGCGGAGTACAATGCAATCTCGGGACCTCGACATACTCCCTTAGCTTCAAACGTTCTAAGTTTCCACCCTCCGTCCTCTAGTAGTCTCTCAGCCTCCGTTCATCTAGAAAATCAACACTGATGGTGCATCACTGCAGCTATCACTGGTCATCCCAAGCCTCAGTTATGGATTATCTGGACTTTTTTGTTTCTCCTGTTCACTCCTCTCTGTCATTTGCCCATGAGCCCCGCCCTTTAAGGAACAGAGTGTGAGTAATTTAAAGCAGTTCTTGCAATGAAGTCCAGGCAGAAAGGGGGCTACATGTCTGCATTTTCCATGCCAGGCAGGCCTAGATCGTGATCATCCCAAAGGAAAGAAAATGCCCCAGCTGATCAAGGGGTCCAGGAAGGCAAGGATCGTGTCTGCTCATCTTTGGAATTCCTTAAAAGGCCCTTCAGGTCATGTCTGTCAAACCTGAAAAGGTCCAACTGATATGATAAAAATCAGACCAAATATGCCAATGTTAATTTGAGTTATATTTGAGATTTCCAAATTCTTGAAGGTCCAGAATGGCCCAATATTTGATCTGTAGGTTTCACTGGTCTGGGGCCTCTGATCCCCTCTGACCCGAGGGAATATGCAAAACCTTCTAACCTCGAAGTACAAAGGATCTCAGAAATCCCCTATATGCTGACAGGTGGTTCTCAGTTTCTGAGTTGCTTCAAGTGAAAGATCATTATCTCTTCACAAATTGTATTTTTCTGCAGCACAACTTATAAAGAAGTTACTGGATTTTAGTCTCAAATAGTTTATAGCCAGTTGTTGTTTTGGGGAGAGGAAACTGGTGTAATAATCCTGCATCCACATCCAGGGAAACAACCTATGGGATGACCTGCTGCAACGGCAGATGCTTTTCCAGCTCTTGACCTTGGCTCTTAAAATAAAACCCTTTTCTTGATGTTATTACTGCATGGAAAATTAACTCCCCAGAGATGGCAGCTCCCCAAACATATCTCCCTGGGCAGGGCCCCACCCTGAGCAGACACACTGACTCAGAGCTGGAAGATCTGACGTCAGCACCAGCCTCTTCCCCAGGTCTGGCTACCCTGAGAGCTGCAGGCTGCGTGGCCCGCCCTCCCCTCCCTGCACCCCAATGCAAGGCAAGCAGGGCCCTTACTTTTCTCGTTCTGCTTGGCAGTCAGCATTCTTGCTCCGGAGTTCCTCCAGGGCCAGCTCCCCTTCCCTGCCCTTTTCCAGTAAGGCCTGATACTCCTGGAGGAGCCAAAGGAAAGAAAATCTAGAATGTGAAGATGGCAACAGGTTCTGCATTTGGGGTAAGGTGGCCACTAGGGCTGGGACTCAGCCCCTACTGGGCCTGGGACAGCTGCCAAAGAGCAGCAGGCCAAGCTGGTTTGATGGGGCGCCCTCCCCTGTCAGGGAGAACCCTTCCCACACTCTGCACACAGAAACTTCCCAGCCTCACCCAGCTGCCCAGAGGGAGAGCCTGGCCCTGCATTACCCAGGCCCACCTGCCAGCTATGGCTGCCAAGCCCTCGGAAGCCAGGCCGAGTGGCTCCTTAAGAACAGTTCAAAACCCATGAAGGGCAGCTGTACAAGAATCCGGCTAAAATGGAAATGGGCTCAACTCTAGTTAGCAAGGGCTGAAGTCAGGTGACAGAAAGGCCTTGCTTTCCTTAAAGGCTAAAAGATACTCGAAGGTATGCTGTGAAGTGTCTTTTTCTGGAACTGCTCAGGAAGGAGGCTCTCTGCAAGCATCTCAGTTGACCCCGGGCTGCTCCGGCCCAGAATCTGCGTTCTGAAGAGCAAGGCTCCCAGTTACCGTCTCCATCCCAAGCAGGCGCCTCTGCAGCTCTCCAACTTCCATCTCTTTCTGCTCCTCTCTGTCCTCTACTCTCTGAAGGGCCAAGTGGCTCTCCTCTGCTTCTCTCTGGTACTGGCTGAGTGTGACCTAAGACACAAGAAGGGGATATATAAAGTAGAGGGCAAAAATACCAAACATGGATAAAAACCTTAGAAAAGAACCTAGGGACCTGGGTGCGACAGTGGGAAAAGGGCGGCAGCCCTGATGGGCACTCAGCCATCTCCCACTCACTGTCCCAGGGCCACTCAGGGACTAGCGCATCAACTCCATTTCCAGGGTTCACTGACATGTCGTTGGTTGAGTTCTACTCTAAGATGACACTTGGAAAGCATGCACTACTCTCCAAAGGCTGACTTCTCCAACATCCCCACACGTCCTCTAATGCCACCCAAAGTCACCCAGCCCTGTGATTTTCAGATCAGAGAATCCAGGGGAGGATATCTCTATGTCGTTCCTTCTGTTCCCCAACTCCTCCTTACCCTCCCTTCAAGCCATACTGCAGCCTGCATACAAAGGCCAAAGGTGCTAAGCACCAGAAAGAATTCGTTTTTTTATCGAAGATGATAAACTAATTTGGAAAAAATAGAAGCAGAATTTTAGAATGAAAAGTAAAGTAGGAACTCGCTTCCTTTCCTCCCATGTGCATTCTGTCACCTCTTAATTATCCCTCAGGCCTCAGCTTAGACACCCTGTTTGCCGGGAGCCGCCAAGCCTGGGTGAGACACCCATAGAGGACACGCTGCCCTCCCCTCTTAGAGCACGGAGCAGATTTTGCCCAGCCACTTGTGCGCACCGCCTCAGTGACCAGCAGCTTCCTGAGGGCCGAGCCCTTGGGCCCCCTTACCCTTCCAGAGTTCAGCACAGTACCCATCACACAATCATTGCTCCATAAAATCACAAATGAAATTGATGGTCATCGAGTCCAACCCTCTTCTTTCCCAACTAAAGGTCAAATGACCTCTCTGAGGTTACACAGCTAGAACCCAGTTACTTCATCATCCATTTCAATAGTTTCCCAGTTACCCTACACTGACTCCCCAACTCGTCACTAAGAGAACTCAGGTAACCTCTGGAAAGCCTGACCAGCCCTGGGAAAATAGAACACTGGCAGCCAGTTTGTCCAGCTCCTCCTGAAGTCAGAATCAGGGAGGAGAAAGCAAAGTACAGGATGATGTATGATGGGACGTGTCTGTGCTGCACACCAGCCCTGTCCAGAGCAAACTCACTGCAAATCCTTCCTGACAGCAAGTAGCCAGTAGAACAAGAAACCAGGCTTAATGGCAGGTTGTTTTCACGGTAATTGACAACCTTGCCCTTTCTACCCCCAGGTTCAGAAAAGTAGACCACAGAGTCTAATTCATTAGGAGAGACTGAGAATATCCCACATTAGCTGGCAACAGGCCAGCCGCATGGGCAGGAACTTAAAAACAACACCTCTACCTCTCGCCCTGACCAGTGTGGCTCAGTGAATTGGGTGTCATCCTGCAAACCGAAAGGCTGCTGGTTCAATTCCTGGTCAGGGTACATGCCTGAGTTGCGGGCCAGTTCCCTGATCGGGAGGCAATGGATGGATGTTTCTCTGACACATCGATGTTTCTCTCCCTCTCTTTCTCCCTCCCTTCCCTCTCTCTGAAATAAATAATAAAATGTTAAAAAAGAAAAAACTCTCATTTCTGTACATAAACACTGTACCTGGGTTGATGTGTGCTTGGAGCATAGCGTTAACAAGCCAGGGTTCCTCCCACCCCACTGCAGGATCACAAAGGAGAAAGAAAACCACCATATCCCCTGCTATATCTGTTTACATCCGTTCCTGTAACTCTCTCCAGCCCTGCCCTAAAGAAACCTCTGCATCATAAGAGTGGGACCAACCCAAGGAGTACCTACCACGTGGGTGTTACATACCAGGGGACTAAAGGACAGCCCTTCTAAGAAGGCCTCACAGATGTGGCTACAGCTGTCCAGGGCCTTCTAGCCTCTGGCTCTTAACTCAGGACACTTTTGCTAAAGCTTTGAAACCCAGGGCTAACAGAGCCCTCTGTGTGTGGCCAAAACCAAGGACTTCACAATGCCTCTCAGTACAGAAATTTCTCTCCAAAATGCACAGTTTGGTCAGTACTGCAGCCTCAACCTCTCCTTCCTCCTGTTCTTCTCCAAAAAAGTAGAAACAGCTGGTCACCAAACTGACACAACACCAGCTACATTATCCCACCACAAACTCCTTTACTGCACAGCTATTTTATTCTGAGACCAAACTAATTTCAGCATTGCCCTAAGTCCAAACTATTTAGGAGAGGAAAACCTGCACATTAAACTGATCACTAAGAAAAATATAGGGTATCTTACATTTCTAAAGACCTTCCAGAGTAATATTTACATATTATTATCACACTCAATCCACATACCAAACATGTTTCATGACCACTTTTTTTACAGAAATTGAAACTGATGCTTAGAGAGGTTAATTCCTTGCTCAAATGACACTTCAGCTACTCTGGAGGCAGTCAGTCATTTTCAATGCCCTTCTTGCTCACCCTCAATCCACCCCTCAGACCTCTCAGTCGCATGAAAGAGGAGTTTGGGTGGGCTTCATCTTTCTACCAGCTTCTGGCATGCCTGAGCAGACCATAACCCTATCATTACATATTTATGACATAAATACCTTACATGTGGATGAACAATAGCAGATAACAGGTAGTTAATCTCACACAGAGTAGTTAAAAAAACTGTCCAGTATTTGCCCAATGTTCCTCAGGTTATACTCAAAGAACTTTCTGGAAAGTATGGAAGACCTCACACACTTTTAATAGTGGGGGGCTTTCATTTTCTATTTATAGGCTTGTATTTTAAAATCTTCTATAATAACTTAGTATTAATTTTATAATAATAATTGAGATATTAGTTCAAGATCACAAAGCTTTGCATAATAAGACCAAGACTACATCTCAAGTCCCCTCACTGCCTGGGCACAGTTCTTTCTATGACCGCAAAGATTTACCCATTTACCCGGTCTACATGAGGTGCCCATCTCATGCCAGGTGTTGCAGCAGGTGCTGGGGTTACAGTGGTGAACCTGACAGCAGCTGTCCTTGCCTACATGGTGCCAAGAGCACAGTAACTCTTACCATGGCACGTAGTGAAACAACTTCTGAGTTACCTGCTATCCCAGACCAGGACCGCTGTTCAACTTCAGCAGAGCGGAGAACCAAGAGCTGACCTTCGAACTATGGGCTAGCCTTGGACAGCAAAAATGATAAATATCCAGGAGAGGGAGAAGCTGACAGCAAGTGCCCCAGGCCTCAAAGCCTAACCTTTCCAGTTGATGTCACTCAGCCAGAGAGACATTAAGTCCATGCCGAGAAAGTTGCTGGTGCCTGTACCCAGCAGCCCAGCCCCTGGGCACCTTCTCCCCAAATCCCAAATCTCACCTCAAAAGCCACACGGTCTGACTGGTGCTGCCGCTCGGCCTCCTGCAGCTTGGCAAGCAAGTCCCGTACAGCCTTCTTCAAGCTCTCGACATCTTCACTTAGATAGACGTCCACCTACAGCCAGAGCAAAGATGGGCAGGTGAAGCCACTATGTTTGTGACTTGGTAAGAGAAGGCTCCCCCCCAAACACTTGTTTGGACCATCTTGTCCAGACCACCCTCACAAAAGAATTCACATCACACAAAGGGTAAGTCAGTCTAAGGCACCCAGGAGTCTGAATCATTCAAATGAAAACATTCTCTCTTCACACCCTAAAACCTCAACTAGCCTCCTAGAATTTGGTTATTTTAGGACACAGTAATTTTTATACATGTATCAACTGACTGACAGATATGTTTATGCTGCCCTCAAGTGTGCATCCCGTTTCCATCAGACAAGCTCTCTGAGGGCAGATACCTTGTTCCTCTTTGGACTACAGTTTCCTAAAGGCAAGGACTGTGCCACACCCATCACAAGGGGTGAGTCCCAGAGGCACATCTTTCCTTGTTCTCTGCACCTCACAGAGATGGGTATACAAAGGGTTACTGATGGATGAGCAGGTTGAGGGCAAAGGCACCCAATAAGCCCAGGAATCTGAATCCACGAAGGAAAAGGTGTCTCAGTGATTTTACTGTAAGTGTCTCCAGCAGACACACCCAGTTGTGGGTTGGTGGTTAGGGCTGATCTGGCATGTAGGGTCTCGCCCCCGTCTCTGAAGCACAAGCATCAAACACCTCGGTTACCAGCTCCCTGTGAGTCTGACAGAAAAACCACTCCCCGGCTTGCACTGTGGGAAGCAGCAGCACCTTCAAGGCAAAGCACAGTTGGGAGGAGGGCAACTGGGTCCCTGCCGCTGCATTATTACTTAGCACCATGGGCCTTCATTTCTCTATCTGTGGACCAGTCAGAAGACTCCTTTCCACGCCCTGCCTTACAGACTGCCTCAAAAACAAGATAGTATCTGGTAGGAGTTGGACCTCGTAAAAAGAAAGAGGCTGAACAGATAATACCAGGTGTCATTATAACTTGTGGCCGATAGCACATTTACCAACTATGGTGACTCAGAGGAAGAGAAAAATCCACACTGCAGCTCTGAGGAGAATCACAATACTCCAAATCTAGGATTCAGCAAGTGATACCTAGTCCATTCCCCATAGCTGGACCTACGCTGCTGGGCAGGGGGGAGCAATAGCTCCTGGAGCAGAGTTATGATGTGTTTAGTTCAAATGGTGTTCTCAGAAGATTATGTAATGACATGAGAAATGTTCATGAAGAGAAAACTTTAAAAAGGGGAATTAGAAAATTTTAATGTAGGAGTTAGAAACAACCAATGAGATTCTAACAAAGCAAAGTAAATAGATCTAATAATACGGGGTCGGGTAAAAAGGAAAACAAGGAAATACAGCACAAGCCCATCATGAAAACTGAAAACACATTTACTAAGCTTATTTAAATCATATATTGAATATATTAGAATGAGTACAGCCATGGAAGGAAATACTTTGTTGTTATTCAAAAGCATGAGGTAGATTTACATGTACTAACATGAAAAGAAAGCTATATTATACTCTTCAGTTTAAAAAAATTAAAAAGGAAGTAAGGAATTATTATTTATCATGACCCTATAATTTGTGAAAAAATATATATATAAAGTACAGATACATTTATACATGCATATATGGTACATGTGTATATAACATATCACATGCATATACACATATGCTATTTAAATATGGTAGTCTGTGTTTTTAAACACTCTAGAACAGCGGCCCCCAGCCTTTTTGGCACCAGGGACCAGTGTTTCCACAGACGGGTGGGGAGAGGGGCAGGAGGCGGAGCTCAGGCAAGCTTCTCTTGTGGCCAGGGCCCTAACGGGCCACGGAACGGTACCAGTCGGTGGCCTAGCGGTTGGGGCCCCCGCTCTAGCACACTTGTACTCACCTTTGGTTAAACATTACAGTAACTTGAAGAGCACATAAAAGTCCTGATGTTCAGTCCCCATCTCCGACCAATTAAATTACAGTCTCTAGGGATGGCATACACACATCATGTCCTTTGAAGCTCCCAAGGACATTCCAACAGGTAGTTAAGGCTGAGAGCACTGCTCTAGAAGGATCTACCCATTCCAATCTGTTAACAGCGGGTACTTCCAAGGAGAGGGATTCAGGGAAAAGAATTTCTGTTTCATTTGTTTCTCCATTGTTTGAATTTTTACAGCAAGTGAGTTCAACTCTTATATGTAGTGAAAGAAAAAGCAATAGATAAAGGGGTCAGGGAGGCGGCTATCTTGCCTCCCGGCTAAGCAGTAGTTACCATTGTTTTCCTTGTCACCTACCTCAGGGGGGCTGCTGCACAGGGTCGTGGGACTTGGACTAAAACCGTTTGGCTTTTCTAGCACTGTCTGTACAAAAAAATAAATAAAATTGGTAGTGAAAACAATCCCAAGCAACAGACTTCAAAACATTATTCTTCTAAGATCTCAAATCTTAGATAGATAGATAGAAAGAGAGATAGATAAGGCGATTGAGGGGGACGGAGAAGAGGAAGAGGAGGAAAGGGAAAGGGAAAAGGAAGAGAAAAAAGGCTCCCCGTGTTGTGTGGGAAAATGGAAAAGAGAGGCGTGGAGAAACGCGTGCCACCTTCAGAAGGAATATTCTGGCCTTTTAGGGAAGATGAAAACTTCAGGCAAAAACCTTTCAACAGACTGGAATATATGCAGGCCCACTCCTTGCAGCCCAGGGAACACAAGCAGCTGCCTGCCACAGAGATACTCCCTTGCCCCTTAGGGATCCTGACCAGGTTTGACAAAGCATAAATCAAAAGGAGAAGCAGCATTTTCTGCAATTCTTCCCAACCCACAACCTCATTATTTATCATATGAATGCTGGCTGTGCAAACAGGGGGCCTGGGCTTTTGGGCCAGTCCCTGAGCAGTGGGTTCTTCAGTCACCTGATGAAGCACCTCCCACCAACCAGATGTGAGCTCAGGCAGTGAAAGTCCCACCTTCAGCCAAAGCAAATGCATTAGTAAGACTCGGCCACATAGCCAGTGCACACCCAAGCCAAAGGGGAACTTGGCTGGTACTAGCTTCTAGGTCACGCTTCTCCTCAGGAGACTGAGGGCAGGGGCTGCTGGAGAAAGACCACCTCACCCAAACCAAATGCAAGTGAAGGAGAGACAACTCAGAATCTAATGGAGAATGAGGATGAAGTCATGGAAGAGACAGTTCTACTCTCCTGAGGACATTTCTATCCTTAAATTTTAGAAAAATTAAAAAGCAAGATCCCAGGAGTGTCTATGCCAAGAAGTCTTCTCCCATTAGTTCAGCTGAATAAACATTTACTGATGACTTTCTGCATCCCAGCCCCTCTGCTGGGTGTGGGGATGCAGAGATGGGGTGAAGCCGAACCTCAAGGAGCTTCCCCTCTCAGTGTAGAAGCAATGATATCACAGAGAAATAGCCGGCTAGGACCGGGACTTTCAATTTACACTACAGGTGTCACCCAAATTGAGGAAGATCAACTTATCGGTTTGGATTTACAGGTGACTGCTTTATAAGACACTGCATTACAAGAAGATGGATCACAGTGGGTTCAGTGAGATCCTTACAGATATCAGGCTTTGCAAATAACTTAACAAAAATTTCACTTGTACAAATCCAATTTTTGGACAGGGTTTTCGGAACGGGTGTTCTCACCCAGGGGCTGAGATGTGTGAATGTCGGGGCCCCTCTGCTGGAGCGCCTTCGCGTGGCTGAGAGGGCTCGCAGAAGCCAGTGTCACCTCGATTCTCTCCTTTCCCAGCAGCACTGTTAGATTAGGCACCCACGGGGTGACAGGCACATCCCCTCCTCCTCAGTGGGGACCCAACCAAGGACCATTTCCTATTACCTGTATCTCCTGTCGAGGGTGAGACTCTCCTAGATCTCTGTCAAGCTTACAGCTTATATCCTCCCGCAGCTTCTGCAGGCAGTTCCTGGCCTGGGAGGGGAGGACAAGGAGCTTCAGCTTTGGGAAAGGAAGGAGAGCACACCAACTCACCCACCTTTGTGCCCACCCCCAACTGTACCCCTAGGAGTCAGGCACTGTTCTAGGCACTGGCAGGGGGAAGGAGGGTCCCCAGTCCCTCCTACACAAACAACAAAATGAGCAAAATCACTGACCCAGGTAGCTAACATTCTAGTTGGGGGGACACACAACACAAAAGACAAATAAGTAACACGTGTGATATGTTATTGGCGACAGGGCGAAAGTTAGGGAAAGCTGGGGAAGCGAAGCTGGCAAATTCAGATAGGATGGCTGGGGAACAGTGCTAGGCACATAGTATTTAATAAGTCTGGCTGATTAATAAAAGGGTCAGAAATTATATTTAACACATGATGGGGCACAGTGGCACTTTGAAGATATGAAGGGAGCAGAACGGAGAAAATCAGAACCCACAAAAGAAGGGAGGCAAAAAAATGTGAGATTTAAAGAAATGACCAAGTCATTTTCACAGAGAGAAAGAGTGCCCACCTCCTGGATGTACTGGACCTCACTCTTCAGCTGGTTAATATTCTTCTCATGGATCATCTTGTCTCCAGATCTCCCCTTCAAGTACACCTGAAAAAAGGAAACAACACTATTTAGTTCAGAAAACTCCAGTTAAAATAATTCCACGCAGGTAGCCTCAGACTCTGCTGACAGAAGGGTAAATTGCTACCACCTTTCTGGGTGGCAATTTGGTGATCAGAAGACTTACAACTATATTTACTCTTCCACCTATCAAATCTACTTCTGGAAGTTTATCCTAATGAAATAAATTTAGCTAAACTGGCATAAACTTATATATATAAATATATAAATTCAAGGAAAGAGGATTGTAAAGGGAATTTACATTTTTCTCTGTATACCATGCTTGAATCTTTTACAATTATTTGTGTTATAAGAGACATGTTATGAAGTTAATAACATGTTCAGCAAAATATTGTTTATGGCTGCAAAAATAGAAACAGACAAATGTCTAACAACAGGGGATTACATAAATAAATTATGGTATCTCTACAATAGAATACTATGCAGCCATTAGAATGCCAGGTGGACACAGATATTATAAACTACAATTAAATTGGCGAGGAGGGGCAAGCAAATTACAGAATAAAGTCTATAATACAATTCTATTTTTTGAAAAAATACATATGCATAGAAAAAAGCCTGGGAGGATATACAATAAAGTGTTTGTTAACAATGGTTACACTGATTGAATTATGGGGTAGTTTTATTTTTTTCAAGGGCCATGCAATGACTTTGAATAAGAAAGGCACCCGGATTGCAAAGAGGTTATATGTGTGTGTGTGTATATACACACACACACACACACACACACACACACATATATATATATATATATATATATATATATGCCATGGTTATATATATAGAATACCCTAAGGAATGCCATGGTTATATATATAGAATACCCTAAGGAATTCACTAAAAACCTACTAGAACAAATAAAGGAATGCAACAAGGTTGCAGAATACCAGATCAATATATAAAAATTGCCTTTAGTTGTATTTCTATACACTAGCAATGAACAATCCAAAAACGAAATTAAGAAAACAATTCTATTTACAATGAAAAAAAAAAAAAGACTTAGTCAATTAAGCAAAGTTTAGATTTATATTCTAAAAATTATAAAACATTGTTGAAAGAAATAAAAGAAGATCTAAAAAAATGAACTAACATCTTATTTTCATGGATTGGAAAACAATATTATTAAGATAGTAATATTCCCCAAATCCATCTACAGATTCAACATAGTACCTATCAAAATCAAAGCTGGCTTCTTTGCAGTAACTAATAAACATCCTAAGATTCATATGGAAATGCAAAGGACTCTGAATAGCTAAAACAATCTTGAAAAAGAATACAATTACTGCAAAGCTACAGAAATCAGAGTGAGTAGGACTGGCATAGGGGTAAACATGTAGGTCAATGGGATACAACTGAGAGTCCAGAAATAATAATATAATAAAAACACAATCAACTGAATTTGACAAGGGGGCCAAGACAATTCAATGGGGAAAGAACAGTCTTTTCAACAAATGTTTGTAAAAAGAGAGCTCCACATGCAAAAGAATCATGTTGACCTCCTTCCTCACACCATCACAAAAATTAACCCAAAATGAGTCATAAATCTATTCATAACAGCTAAAACTATAACTCTTTGAAGAAAATATAGAAATAAATCATTGTGGCCCTGGGTTAGCCAAAGCCTTCTTAGATACACCACCAAAAGCACAAGTCACAAAAGGAAAATATATATAATTTGGATTTCAACAAATTAATAGCTTTTGCTTCAAAGGATATCATCGAGAAAAAGTAAAAAGAAATACCATAGACTAGGAAACATATTTTAATATTTCCAAATCATATATCTGATAAGCATTCAGAATATATAAAGAATGTCTTTATGTAATCTTCGTTACACCTAACCAATGAAAACCAACTGAATTTTTAAATGGGTATAGGATTTGAGAAAATAGTTCTCCAAAAAAATATAGAAATGGACAATGAACATATGAAAAGATGTCATTAGAGAAATGCAAGTTAAAACCACAAGATACCACTTCACAGCCATTAGGAAGGCTATAATAAAAAAGACAGAGAATAACAGGTGTTGGGGAGGACGCAGAGAAATTGGAACCTTCATACATGGCTGGTGTGAGTGTTCGATGGAGTTTCCTAGATTTGGGGAAAAATCTGGCAGTTCCTCAAATGAATAAATGTAGAGTCGCCATATGACCTAGCAATTCTACTCCTAGATATATACCAAGAGAACTGAAAACATGTTCACATGAATATTCAACTGGTATACGAATGTTCATAGCAACCTTATTCATAATAGCCAGAAAGAAGAACCTACTAGTACTCAAATGTCCACCAATTAATGGATGGATAACAAAATATCATATAGATAGTTATGTAAGCGAATATTATTCAGCCATTAAAAGGAATAAATATTGACATGTCACAACATGGCTGAACCTTGAAAACATGCTAAGTGAACGGCGCCAGGCACAAAAGGACACATGTTGTATGATTCCATTTATATGAAATGTCTAGAAGAGGCAAATCCATAGAGACAGAAAATGGGTGATTGCCAGGAGCTGGAAGGAATGACCAAAAACGTCCTGGTATAAATAGTGGTGTTGGTTGCTCAACTCTGTGAATAAATTAAAAAACACTAAACTATGCACTTTAAGTTGGTTTTATGGTATGTAAGCTGTATCTCAGAAAGCTGTTGTTTAAAAAGAAATCCCCAAAATTGTTTTAATTTTTAAAACTAAGTTTCATTAACACACCTCCCAGTTGCCTCCATAACCTCAGCGCCAAAACATGGGCAGTGGACAGACACCTAGAAAGGTCATCCCACCCATCCCCCGTGGCTGGGGCCAGGTCGCACTGAAGTCAGTACAGACAGACTGTGGTCTCGGTGCTTAAGATTTTTCTAGGAGATAGTCAGGAACTAGCACCACAGGTCTGGTTCTTCTAGTCAAACCATAAGCTCCCTCTGGCAAAGTCAGCCACTCCCTCTCACACGCAGTAGGGAGAAAGAATGAGGGGAGAAAGCGTGCAGGTGAACTAAGCTTACCTTAATGATTTCCTCATGTCCGTCGTTGGACTCCACCAGTTCTGAGGCCAGAGAATGACTGGCTGAGTAGCCAGAGACCATTGCACAGGTCTTTCTGCCCACCTGAGAGAGAGAAGGACAAAGAAAAGTGACTCAGGAATCTTATGACAAGCACAGAACTCTTGCATCTTGACCAATGCAGAAACCCTCTCCTCCCAAGACTTGAAGGATTAGTCAGACTTTCCCTCCAAAAATTCATTTCAGAACCTCTACCAGAAGCCACAAAGCAGCAAGAACGCCAGACGGGGAAAATTAGTAGAAATCGCTGGTTAGTTTTAACTTTAGTGGGCATCTCCCCATCCTCCAAAGCAGGGCACCCTGCCGAGGTCAGCTGAGTGTGCCTGAGAAGAAACGCTCCCAAACAGCAATAGAGATGGCTCCCAGCAGCCCTGGGATGAGGGGACAACGGCAAGGAAGGAGAACTGGCTAAGGGGAGGAGGCCTCGCCTCACCAGAAACCTCCATACCTTCTGGGCTATATGTTCAAGTTCATCTCCTGTCAGTTCACTCTGGAGAGTCAGTCTGAGAATGTCCATGCTGCCCTAATAATGACAATGACAGCAACAGTAACCTTTACCTTTAGTCTACTACCAGTACAGGTGCACTAACAGACAAGAAAATCTGAGGTCTGGAGAGATGGCATTAGTTTGTCCAAGATCAGGCCACTCCCGGGTGGCAGGATGTCTCTGGGGCCTCTTTACACTGCACCAGAGATGGCACAGCACACTGCTCCACGCAGCTTCAGAGGGACTACTCGGATGACAGAAAGTACACTGCGTGGACTCCCCTTTCTGCAGCCCTGAAGAGGGCACCCTGAATTAGTCCTCTCCCACCCAGAATTTCTGCGACTAACAGCCAACTAAGAAGTTGTTGATGCACTTTACAAGACAAGGATAGCTTTCTTGAATCAAACTGTTGGAAGGTACCTGAATCCAAACCCCTGCTCTAAGAGCCACACACAAATTACCCAAATGAAAGCTTGCAAGATAATAGGTATTTATCTAGAGATTAGCCCAATTTCAAAGGAAGAAGCAGATATTCTTTTATAACTCAAAGAAGGTTTAAAAACCACATAGTGAGGAAAATAGAAAGCCTGAGAGGGAAGCCATGTGGTAAGAGGTAAAGTAGGGACTGGAGATTTGGGAATATAACAACACTGCGAGACAGTCAGCAAGGCAGAATGGACCAAACCCTGCCTAAAACCTACGTGATATGTCGAGGTAGATGAGAGGCTTAGCCACGCTCGGCCTCTGGTTCCAACCAGAAAAACCAGAGCGTGGACTAAGTATCTCTGACGATTCTCCCAGCTTTGATACTGTGACAGCATGAAGGGGGAGTACATACTCCAGGCAATAAAGAGCAGGGTGCTGAGCTACCCAAGGATAACAGTGAAGTCATCTGGTCATCCCCTGCCTTGAAACCCAGAAGTATAAATGCCATCTTAGCCTCGACAGATTTAAGGACACCCTCTTAACCCTCCAAATGTCTGTTGGAAGGAAAGGAGCTGGGAGAAGCTTCTATGGCAGGCAATAGTCCTTATCCAAGAAAGAGCAACTTGGAGAAGAAATCAGTCTCTGTGGTGAGACACTTAACTCTCAATGCTCTCACTGTAAAATGGGAATACTACCATCCACCTGAGGGGTTTTTGTTGAAGATTAACTGAAAATGTGTGGAAGTTGTTCTCTGCCACATAAGATGGAGGTACTTGGATAGCAGCCTCCCCCCACTGCTTGGAATAAACCCAAATTTAGGAAAGGCTGCAAAGCCACTCCCACACGACCCTTAAGCCTCCCCAATGCTGGCAATGTAGCTGGTTTTACAAAAACATTTAATTACTACAAATAAAAGCCAGACCCTCAGTGCGGCACGGAAGGCTCTCCGCGGCCGGGGTCAATTCACGGCTTCTGCCAGTGCTCATCCGATACATGCTTTCCCGCTTCAGTGACTTTGCTCTCATCACTCCCTTTGTTTTTTCTGTCCTTTCTCCCAATTTTCAGCTGGAGCATGGGTAAGTCGCTCAAGGATTCACAAACAAATGCCACATCTTCCATGACGCTTCCTTCCCTCCCTGAGCTCGCTCAGCATCACAGGGCCTCCTGTGACACCTGCTCCGGCCTCTTAGTTATATGTGTTCTGTGAGCAACTGCCCCTTCCGTTAACTCCTCGTGGGTGGTCGAGCGCATAGTGAGTGCTCCATGGAGTCTAGATCACGAGAACATTACAAAAGAAAAAAGAGGAAATGATTTCAAAAGAGCCAGAGTGGCTGCCAACTTTTCCCCAGGACACAGGTATGCACTTTGATTAAAACATCATCTCCTCACACCTGGAGGCAGTGGGAAGAGCTGGGCATCCCAGCTTGTACATGAAACGTTTACTTGTAATACTCCAAAACTAGAAATGACCCAGATGTCCTTCAGTAGCTGAATGGCTTTACAAACTGTGGTACATCCTTATCATGGAATACTTACTACTCAGTAATAAAAGGAACAAATTACTGATGCATGCAACAACAATCTCCAGAGAATTATGCTAAGTGAAAGAGGCCAAGCACAAGAGATTACATAGGGTATAATTCCATTTCAGTAAGATTCTTGAAATTCCAAAATTACAGAAATAGAGAACAGGTTAGTGGTTGTCAGGAGTTAAAGAGAAGACAGTGGAGGGGGGGCATGGGGGGGGCGCAGAGGGGAGGAGGAGGTGGGTGTGGCTCTAAAAGGACAACTGAAGTATCATGTGCTCAGGGAAATCCTCTGTACCTTGGCTGTATTGATATCAATATCCTGGTTGTGTATAGTTTTGCAAGATGTTACCACTGAGGAAAACTAAGTAAGGCATACAGGAGATCGCTACTGTTTCTTATAACTGAATCTACAATTATCCGGGGGTAAAAAGAATTAACACTTTCAGAGACAAAAATTTTAAAATAAAACAAAGAAAATAATTTTATAATCCCTACTACCCCAAAATAGCCAATCTTAAAATGTTAGTGTATGCCTTAAAATTTTTCTATGTGTATTTTTAAAAGGCATACCACTGTATGCAGTTATATACTTGCTTTTTTCCCCTTTACTTTCTCATCATTAATTTCCATCACATTAAACATTCTTCAAAATTGGATTTAAATGGCCACTAGTAGTCCTTTGAATAGATTAAAATAATTATTCAACCTACCCCCTTATGAAGGTGATTATCAATTTCTTAATTCTTATATTTTATTTTTTTATTTAGAAACATATTTTGAGAAAATGAGATGATACACAACAGTAGCTAGATCACTATCAGATTTATTGCCTGATCCATTTTCTACAGAGCCCAACTTGACCTCCTTTCATCTTTACAGAAAAAGAATAGCATTTGGAACAGTTTGACCTTGGTTCAAATACTGGCTCTGGCTTTCCTTTGTTGTGTGTAGAGGTCTTATTCTGCCTCAGCCTTAGTTTATTACTTGCTAAAACAGAATATGATGCTTAGGTGAGAATGTAGTGACTTACATAAAACTCACTGATACACAAAAATATCAGTTTCTCAAAATTTGAAATAATGCTCCCTTTCAAAAATATTTTCCATAAGCCTATTTTATATGCTCATAGGTTAATGTAAAAATGCCTTGTTATGAAAAAGATGTATATTAACTCCTACCTCATACCATATACAAACATCAATTCCAAGTGGATTGCTGAGTTAAATGTTAAAAGCAAAACAATAAAGGCTTTATAGGAAAACACAGAACAAATATCTTTATGACATTGGCAAAGACACAAATTTTCTTATATATGGCACAAAAAATTCCTCTCCAGAAAACAAACAGGACTATATTAAAATTTAGAACTTTCGTTCATCAAAAGACACCATGAAGAGAGTACGTGGTAACCACAGAGCAGAAGCTATTCATTCTACATATATGTAACAAAGGGTATTCAGAACATATAAAGAATGCCTACAAGGCAAAAAAATAAAAAATAAACAGCTAAATACGATGTGGTATCCTGCACTGGATCCTGGATCGGAAAAAGGACCTTAGTGGGAAACTCAAATAAAGTCTATAATTTAGTTAATACTGTGTCTGCATTAATGCGTTAATTTCTTAGTTATGACAAACATACCATGGTTATTATATAAGATGTTAATGGAGGAAACTGGGTGAAGAACATACAAGAATTTTGTGTACTACCTTTGCAATTTTTCTGTAAATATAAAATGATTCCAAAGTCTTAAAAAAAAGTTTTCTTTTAAAAGAGAGAAAGGGGTAGGGGAGAGAAGCAGCGAGGGGAGGGAAAAGAACAAGCGAGAATGCCCAACAGAGAAGTGGGCAAAAAATACCCTTAATAAATACATCACATAAGAGGATATCCTAATGGTCAATAAACATAAAAAAAGGGTTCAACCTCATTAGTCATCGCCATCAAAGAACTAGAACTGCAAGGTAATAGTACAAAATACCCATAAGAATGAAGACAAACAAAAACCCCCAAGTGTTGGGGGATTTGGAAAAATCGAAACTCAAACCCCGGCAGTGGGGTTGCTCACTGTCACAATCACTTTGGAAAATCTACTGAAGATGAACATACGCATGTCCTGTAACATAGTAATTCCACTCCTAGCTATCTGCCCACATGTTCCCCATAAAAACATATACTACTATGGTCATAATAGCATTTTAATAGCCAAAAACTAGAAATTACCCAAATGGTCATCCAAAGTAGAATGGATGATTTCGACGTTGCCATACAATGGAACATTGTACACAAAAAATAATGAACATGCAACATAGATAAATCTCAGAGAAATATTAAGCAAAAGAATTCAGATGCAGAAGTACAGTATATGATTCCACAAATATAAAAAGTATAAAAACAAGCAAAACGAATATACGCTTTAGAAGTCAGGAGAGTTAGCTACCCTTCCGGGTGGAGGGTAAGTAATGCCTACAAGGAGACAAGAGGGGCTTCTGTGGTGCTGGTAATGATTTGTTTCTTATCTGGGTGCTGGTTAAAGGAGTGTGTCCAGTTTGTGAAAACTGCTTGACTGTACATTTATGATATATGCACTTTTATGGATGCATATTACTATTAAATAGAATGTTTTTTTTTAAGGCAAACAAAAATGAAAAACTCCTAATTGTGGCATTAAAGTCCCCTCATTGTCTATACCACATGTCTTGGCTCCCACCAGTAAGTACCTGACCTGTACCCTACTCTCTAACTTTCCTAACCCAGTTGTAGAAAGGCGTCCAATCCAAAGCTCTCCTTCTGTGGATTCAATCTTCTAATGCAAAACATGCTCCTGCCTCCCCACTGGTGTTTTCTCCTTCCAGGTCACCCTCCCTTCCCGTGCCTCCTTGGAAAACTCCCACTCAGCCTTAATTTAAGCTTAGCTCAGGCATCCTTTTTCTGAGGATCCTATCCCAGGACTCCTAAGTCAGAGCCTGCTCCCTGCATACCACATATCCTACACTATTTTTTAAAATTTTTATTTATTGATTTTAAAGAGGGGGGGCAAGAGAAAGACATCAATTTGTTGTTCCACCTATTTATGCATTCAT